GTATGTATGTATGTATGTGTGTGTGTGTATGTATGTATGTATGTATGTATGTATGTATGTATGTATGTATATACATGTGTGTGTGTACTGTATATACAACAGTAAAATGTAAATTATGTGCAAAACTATATTAGTTGTTGGAACTAAGTTGGAAAAATAAATACGAAGGTCAATTAAATTATAAAATGTGAGGTAAAGTTCGCCTTTTTAAATTTAATTAGTGCATTTTTAATTGAATTTATTTATTGGTCCATTTATATATTTATCTAATTATGTCAGTTTGGGTCCTCCATACTGCAGAACTTGGAAGAGGTAATGAATCAGGTGTGTTGGAGCAGGGAAAAACATAAAACCTGTAGGGCTGCAGCCCTCGAGGACCAGGATTGCCCACCCCTGATCTACAGTAACAGCTCTCAGGTACTACAACACCAAGTTACAGCTTAGTATCTGTTAAACTAGCTGAATTGCAGCCAAGTCTATGTTTGGTGACTCACTTAACTGAGGCAGCCATCTTGGATGGGGTTGATCCTAAAACTATACCAAATGTAGACGCTCATCCAGTTATTTTCTGAGAGTTTTCTGTCCAGTGATTCATGAGGTGTTTTGCCAACACTTCAAATAAATGAGCACGCATGGACACAGAACTGGGCTGAAACATTACTGTCTGCTTTAGGTGAAGGTTTGTTCTTCTTCTGTTGAATAGATATCTTAAATGAACGTAGCACAAACAAATACTTAATGACAAATTGTTTGTGTTCAGACCTGTTTTTCTGTGAGAAAGGCTGCTGCCTCATGGCCATGTGTTGTTGTTCATCCATGAGTCTAAGCAGAGGAGAGCCAGATTTGATCCTCAGGCCATAGTAGTGGTACTTAGAGTTCCCTCTGGAATGAACACAGTGAAAAAGTCACAACAACGTCACAGAAACTGTGTGTGTGTGTGTGTGTGTACTTGTTTCTACTACAGAGTGAGGACCATTTGCACCATAGTTACTATCAAAGTGAGGCCTTTGGTGTAAAATGAGGACCTCTTCCATGTCCTCATTTTGTCTGCAGCTCTGCTGTGATTTACTAGTTGGGTTTAGAGGTATGGTGTGAATTAAGTTTTGGTTCAGGTTAGGGTTAACTATAGACCTGTAATGGTTAGTTTTAGGTAAAATGTCTGGGTTAGATTTTGGACCTAAATTTTGGGTGGGTGTGGGGTTAGGTTTAGGACCAAGGTGTAGGTTAGTTTTAAGGTCAGGTAGGTACCTGTGAGGTTAATTTTAGGGTATATGGTCAGTGTTAGTATATAAAGTCTAAAAACAATGAATGGAAGTCTATACACGGTCCCCAGGGGGATATAAAAACAAACTTGTGTGTGTGTGTGTGTACCTGGTTCCTAATCTGCGTGTGCGGAGCCCCATGAAGACAGCCCTGATGAGTTTACCAAAGGATGCAGCATTGACAGGTTCCAGTTTCTGCTCCTGGCAGTGCAGCAGGTAGTGGTAGTAGAGGGTGCAGCGAGGCAGGCTGACCCCCTCAGCCCCCTCATAGTTCTCAAGCAGCCACTGCACCTGCACATGACGGACATCGTACACTTCAGTGTTCTGAGCTGTAATGTTTTACTAAGTCACTGATGGTTTGCTCTGAACCTACAGTAGCAGGTGGTGCCCGAGAGTTTGGGCTGGAGTAGCTTTGTCCTCCTCCTCCTCCGCCCGCTCCTCCTCCCAGTGGATAGCTTCCCTGGATGACGTACCCGGACCCGCCTGCCGCCGCGCCCCCACTACTGGCTCCAGCTGTCGCCACAGAAACCGCCTGTGAGCTCACAGATGCGGTGATGTCTGACTCGGAGCTGGGCGTGGCCTCAAAGAAGGTGGAGGAGGACGCAGGAGGAGTCTGGGAAAAGAGGGGCGAGTCGGAGAAAGGGTAGCTGCTCGATCGGCTGAACAAGAAGAGACATAAACAGAACAGAGTTCAGTGACCTGCAGCATCTGTGTGGCGGACCACGTGGGAACAATGACACTACTCACATATTGGAGGTGGTAAAATTTGCATCTCCTGCTCCGTCCACATACTGCACCTGACCTGAATACACGTGCTCCACCTGAACAATGAGGAAACTGGAGATTTGCATCAATAATATAGAGTTCTGTATGGGATCAATCTTGTGTCAGCAGGAATTGAATTTGAATTGCTCAGATTGAATCTGAATGTGCAGAATTAGAAATTGAATGAATTGGTTTGAAAATAAATTTCACTAAATTGAAACTGAATTTAAAGTTTTGTATTTGAATTAATTTGCTTTAAAACTGTATTTTGGTTTATTAAAAATTCAGTTTGACTACTTTCACTTTCAGTTCCATAATTCAGATTTTTGTGTCACATCCTGGTCCTTGAGAAAGCCAGGCAGAGTAATCAAACACAGATCCACAGATTTATGTTTCACTTTGGTGAAGTTTCGCAAACCACCGTAAAAGTGACAAAAACAAATTTATTTTATTGCAGTGATTAATTTGACCTATATGTAGAAAATGTTACATTTACATCACATCATGGATCAGTCAGCAGCAGCATCTGATCAACATGTGATCCATGATGTGATGTAAATGAAACATTTTCTACATATAGGTCAAATTAATCTCTGCAATAAAATAACTTTGTCTGTTTTTGTCACTTTTACAGTGGATTGCATCAACTCTGTTACATTACAGAAGGGAAACTTCACCAAAGTGAAACATAAATCTGTGGATCTGTGTTTGATTACTCTGCCTGGCTTTCTCAAGGACCAGGATGTGACACAAAAATCTGAATTATGGAACTGAAAGTGAAAGTAGTCAAACCGAATTTTTAATAAACCAAAATACAGTTTCAAAGCAAATTAATTCAAATTCAAAACTTTAAATTCAGTTTAAATTTAGTAAAATTAATTTTCAAACCAATGCATTCAATTTCTAATTATGTACATTCAGATTCAATGGGCCTCATGCAAGAACCGTTCGTACGCACAGATTTGTTCTTAAGTTGTGCGTACGAGTGATTTAGGAGAATTTGTGGCATTCACCAATGTTTTCGTATTCTAAGATTTTTTTCAGATACGAACAAAATTTACGAGTGGTCCAGACCTGTCGTATTTTACGAGCAGTCAGTCTGCTGTTATCCAGACGGGTTTTCTTCACTAATAACTTTATATTTCVTTAGTTTGAAGATATTTTGAGTTGAAAATAAATCACACTCCATAATTATGTTGACAATAGGCTATTCTGCTTGAATTAGAGTTATAATTTTAAATGTAATAATTTAGAATATATAATATAAATTGTCCGTCCGGCCAGCTCATCCGCAATCAGGTGCGGGGGGTGGGGGGGGGGTGCACGGGCACGGTGCGCAGCGCTGCGGCTTCTCAATAAATGAAAAATGATTTAACACAGTTGTTTATACTTTTAGCAGCTCTTTTTAATCCCACAGCTGAGCTGCTAAACATGACAGATTTTCTTTTCTGGATCTCTGACAGACGGACTTCAATCTCTGAACTCGGAAACGTCTCCTTTTTTATAATTATCGCTGTCATTTCTCATGAATGAATGAATGGACACTTCCTTGTACCTGAGGCAGGAATCATAGCCTTATATGGTGTTTTTGGGGTGGTAATTATGTTAATCTCCTCTCGCGTGCACGAGCAGCTGGATAGGACAGGTGGAAATTTACGCAGCTCATTTACGCACTTTTCCTGAAGGTAGGAGTGTTTGTTGAATCTGACGTGACATGTTCGTACGAACCCTTTGTACGAACAAAAGTAAGAGAAATTTAGGATAAGAATACGAACATGTTCTTGCATGAGGCCCAATCTGAGCAATTCAAATTCAATTCCTGCTGGTACAAGATTGATCCCATAGTTCAGGCCACAGGTGCTCAACAATGACGTACAGAAAACATACACGTAGCATTAATAATTTTTTCAACTCTTTATAAAAGTTTGTTTCTTTCATTGCTCCGTGGTTATCATTAGCTGGACACTAGCTCTGAATGTGTGCTGACTTTGTTCTTTATTACAATTAAAAGGAAAACACGTTGACACAGTTGGTGTTGTTGTGTTGGTCAGCGTCAGGACGTGAAGTGAAGATTAAACTAAAGAGTACAACGCTACAGCAACAGTCAGCAGGTGAAACAAAGCTAACAGCAGTTCAGGACGATGTAAAGATAAGTGAAAATGTAAGTTTTTAAAATCTTTTCTCTAAAGTTAGTGCTAACATGACAGTTTGGAACCTCTAAGTGAGCTGAGTTGCTTTAGTGAGCTTAACTTTTAACACATTTTTCATGGCTTTAGAAAGTTTCTCATTCTGTGACTCTGCAGTACTTTGTGTTAGAGGAGTTAAAACGAGTAGGACCGAACAGACTGGAATGAGGAAGGTACAGATCAGAACTTCCCATTTAAGACAGCACAAACAAACAGGAACTACAGCTCATTATTGAGGCTATTGAGCTAGCTCTAAACTTCCCACTGTGAACTTTGAACAGGAAACCCATGGTTTTAATCTGTAAGCGAACTATGAGCTCGCTCTGGCACTGTGTGAGGTTGCCTAATCTTTTATGACGTAATGTCATGTATTCTCTGTCTTTAAAGGGGCCAAGGTGACAAAGAAGAGACTGGGATAAGTGTGCACAGACTGGCAGATTTCAGGAAGGTTTTTGATGATGTGTTGCACGTTTTCTCATGAAGGACCACTTACCTCCTGGTTAATATGCACAGACTGTAGGTTGTTGATGTGGCCCGTCTGGATCCTCTTGGCTGCCTGCGACACCGCCTGCAACACTGACCTCTGTGGGAAAGTACGTCCACCGTGTCAGACACGACTGCATCTGTGCTCTAACCCCTGCTAAGGCCTGCTGCTGCTTAGTCAAACACATATGTGAGCATCTTACATGTGGGGGGGTCTGCATGGGTTGGACTACCTGGGTGGGAACGCCAGGCGCCGGTGGGCTGGAGTCTGACCGACTATCGGAGTGAGCAGAGCCATCTGTGAAGACAAAACAGGAATAAAATTGGGAGTTTTCACAAAAAAGATCAAATAAATCTCAACTTGAAAAAAACAAAAAACGCCCATCCTTCGAACAAGTTCCGTACTCACGGCATACTGCCTCCAAATCATAATAACAGCCACTGCAGAACATCTGGCAACTAAATGTGTCTCTTCTTTATGATTTTTGCTGAATTAAGCAAAGCAGGAGAGGAGTGTGACTGCATCTGTCTAACTCTCCTGTCATCCTTATATCTCGCATGCAGTAGGACAGCCTTGGACAGCTAATCTCCCCAGATGGAGGCAAAAATCCCTCCATCTTGTAAACATGCAGATCAGATGAGAGAGGGAAATGAGAGCTGCTTGTGGGCTGATGAACAGGAGGAGAAAACAGAATGGGCAGTGGCAGAGGAGATGGTGGTTACTATTTTGTAACGTTCGAGGTTAAAAAAGTAAAGAAAAAAAAACAACACAACTTGTCCTGGACACTCCGCACTGCTCATTTTTAAACTGAAAACAGTTTTAATCCAGAAACTCCACCTTTTACAAACTACACATCACAGACAGTACACCTCAGCTCAAAGGTTTTTATATTTTATCTGAAATAAGAACATTTTTTCAACTTGAAATTCCTTCCTTTACACGTTTGGACAGTATTTATTTATTTATTCATTCATCAGTCTCTGTTTCCTGCTCAGAGACATGCAGGAAGCTGAATATTAAAAGTTTATTCATGTTTACTACTACTGATACACCAATGTTCTTCTGAGTTCACTTTTCAAGAGAATAAAGTTCTATTAAGTATGTTAAAGTGTCCCGATCAATCTGATCCTAAAATTAGCTGGTTTAACCTGGTTTAATTTTCTTTTTTTACAGAGAAGGACTAGCTGAAATGGAGCTGTTGATAAGATGGGGTGACGTTTTTATTTTATAATGAAAAACAGAATTTAACTGAAGAGTTATAAAGAAACAAAGTACAAATACCTTGTTACTGCACTGAAGTAGAAATTTGGGTTTGATTATTTTTCAGCCGACTTTTTACTTCCACTCCTTATATTTTCACACAATTATCTGTACTTCCTACTCCTCACTTTTTATAATTAAAAAAAGGTAAAGAGTAGCATGTTGTTACTGCTATTTCATTTGGGACTGTTTTCATTCTGGCTTGTTATTTCTTTAAAAAAAACCTGTCCTACTGTGCCTCCTGGATAGAGTGAATTTAACTGGCTGGATGAGATGTATAATAATAAATATATTGTTTATCATTCTGACACCATTTTGGGTGAGGTCACCTCCAAATAAATGTTATTTTAGAAATTCTAACCACTTTCTTTTACTCAATAATGCTTTTAATACTTAAAGAGTAACTTACCCCAAAATTAACTTTTTTTAGCTGATAAACTGTCTAGAATGTGTCTAAAATGTTATATAGTACTGTTTCTGTGCTAATTTTGATGTTTTTGTGCGTATTTGTTCAAATCTGTAATATTTGGTCTAAAAACATGTTTTTGCTGCTCATATGGGTAGAGCAGTGGTACTGCAGGCTAATTTGCATATTGGTTAACGGTCTCCTATTGATGTGTCTTCTCCACAGTTTCGTCACAGCGGCTGTGTTCTGGTATAAAAGCCTCTCTCTAAGACACGCCCCTGCAGCAGTCAGAGGGTGGAACAATTAGCAAGCTTAGCATGATCGTCTGTTGACCTTCAGCCTCGGGTGGGGAGAGTCTCCCTCTCTCCACACACACACACACACCAGCAGTACGTCCTGCACAGCGGGAGGGGAGGAGGGGGAAAAAAAGGCAGAAACACAGCGGGGCAGCTGCAGCCCTAACGGACCAAATTTCAGTCAAACAAGACCCACCACTTTTATTCCTGATTTAAACTAGTGATCTTGAGAGCAGCTGCAGCTGTATGCTTTTATTTTTTTCTGTCAGGCTGTTGCGGAGCACTCCACTCCTCTGTCCTGTGAGGCGGACAGCTCAGCCGAGGCTGTCACGCTCTCTCGTCCTGGCCACACCTCCGCTCTCAAACCCCCCCCTCCCCTACCCACTTTGATGCATTTTTCAAATTTCGCCTTGGGGCGGAGTTATCTTTTCACAGGGGGGGGTAAGATACACTTTAAGTAAATTTTACATCAGAAATTTACTTTTGATACTTAAGTACAGTAAATGTCAGATACTTTAAGACCTCTACTCAAGCAATATTCTTACAAGAGGTTTTAACTTTGAGCAACTTTATACAGCACTGTTTAAATGTTGCATTTTAGATCAACTAAAAACCAATCATTCTGTATCATAGCATTTTACATTATTAGTCAGTGGCACGTGACATTTTGTTTTATCACTACACAGCTAGATAAACCTTTTATATTAATCTGAAATCCTGTAAAAAACAGAATGACAGAAGTTGTTCCTAAAAGAGAAGTGCATCAAAATTGAACAGAGTCCTCTTTTGATTGCTGATTGAAATGTTAAATGAAATGAAAAAGTTGTGCAGCACATGTGCAGTCCTAAGGCATGAGGTGACTGAGCCGCAAGGCTACAAAACTTATTCTAGGTGAGAGTGCACAGAGTCACCTGATCTGACCAGGCCAAACAATCCAGGAATAGATGACCCTACATTCAACATAAAGCACAGACAGAAACCAGCTACTGGTACAGTTAGTCCTATCTTTAGTTAACACTATATTCTACTTATTTTTCAAATTTCGTACATAAACTTTAAGGTCTGAGCTACTGACATTCATTTTATTAGATACTGAAATACTGGATTATCTGTTTCTTTCAAATAAAATTATGTTTATACAAAATAACTTTTAAAGTGCCTGTGACATGCATATCCATGAAATACAAAAAGTCAAATAAAATATATTTATATTTAAGAAACTTGGCATAATACATATGATTTTAGCCTTTATGTCACATAATTGGCATATTTTCTTTTGAATTTGGCTCAGCTAAAGTGAAACAGGAAGTGACATCAAAGGGGAACTCTTTGAGAAAGAAAACTTCCTGGTTTTGTTTATTGAAACAATATTATTTGGACTATGACTCTTTCTCAACTCTCTATGATAGGGATTAAAATAATCTTAAGAAACATCAGATTGTTTTCTACAGTCTGTGTTGTTAGCCAATTTAGCAATTCTCTGTTCACATGCAGACATTCCCCTTTGACATCACTTCCTGTTACTTCACATGCAAATATCTCAACAACTGTTCATCTCAGCTGAATGAAATCTTTTTGACAATATGTTATCAATGTTATCTTTCCAAAAATACATTCATATTTGTTATAAAAACTTGATGTCACAGGCACTTTAATAAAGTACAGTCGTATTTTTATCAATAAATGTAAATACATTTTTAAAAAACAGATCTATATTCAGCTGTTGCTCAGTAAAAAGCCAGGAAAGTTGTAGTTTCATATTATGAACATTGTCATCAGTAACAAAACTTCCTCCAGTGCTTTTCTCTACAGGCACCCATCAGTGAGCTTATCAGGACTGATACATGGTTCAGTGTCTTCAAGGAAACTTCAAAATAAAATGGACACATCAATCTTTTGATTATCTGAAGACTCTGACAGACAATCCTCACATCTGATCCACTGTTTGTGAATCAGTTTGTGCCAAGCGTTTATTAATAATATATTTGTAGGAACCAGATATTTTGTCATTATTTTAATGACCTAAACATTGAAATGGAAGTCGTATTTTTACTGCTTTGTAAACTGGATCACTTTGACTCGAGGTTCTGGACACTCAGTGATCAGAACGCTCTCCTACAGGAATAAAGAGGATGTGTCGCTGTGTAGGTACAGTTTATTGTTTCTCACCTGAAACTGTTACTATGATATACTGGGGCGAGCTCTGTCCATTACTCTTCTGAACGGCGCTCTGCTGGATATCGTAGTGCTGTGTGGGAGTTGTTAGGACCACTGGCTTCTGGCTCTGGGTGGGCGGGGCTTGAGAACAAAGTGCATCCTGTCCCGACTTAGAGGCAGTGGCTGCTTGAGCTGATGAAACTGTTCCAGTGGCTGGTGGCAGCTCGGACAGGAAGTGTTCGGTCTTCGCTGATGAGGGCGTGGCGGTGGCAGGTGTTGCCATGGTTACTGCGCTGGCCTGCTGAGGCTGAAGGTCTTCAGAGTATCTACAGGTTGCCATGGTGACTGGTGCGTCGAGGCACAAGATCTGTGGATAAAAGAGGCAGAATTCATTAAAGAAAGTGCTACGAACAAACACTGAGACACACATCGCTGTCTTATCTGTGTGTGTGCGTGGGTGCGTGGGTTCGGCTTTGGTGACATTTGGGGGCAATTTTAAGACAAAAATCCTACATTTGGGGATAACTGGTGCATTTGGGGACAAAAGTCGAGTCCCCATTTGGTTTAAATGCCATTGGTGGGTTGGGGGTTGGGTTTAGGACCAAGGTGTGAATTGAGTTTAGGTTAGTTTTAGGGTCAGGTAGGTACCTGTGAGGTTAGCCTTAGGGTTTGTGGTCAGGGTTAGCTGTAGAAATGTAATGAAAGTCAATGGAATGCCTCCAATTAGATAGCTGTGTGCGTGTGTGTGTTGTTTTTCCTACATTGTGGGGCCTAGTTTTAAGGAAAAAGCAGCCTCGTGGGGACCGGATGCTCCTGAGGACCAAAGTCTGGGCCCCACAACTTCGGAGGCTGATTTTGGTTTGGGAGGTGGGGGTGGGGTTGGGTTTAGGACCAAGGTGTGAATTGAGTTTAGGTTAGTTTTAGGGTCAGGTATGTACCTGTGAGGTTAATTTTATGGTAAATGGTCAGGGTTAGGAAATATAATTTCCAAAAAAAAGAAGAATGGAAGTCAATGGAAAGTCCCCACAAGGACAGAGTGACAAAGTAAGGGTGTGTATGTGTGTACTGTAACATAAACCAGAGAAGGAAGTAGGGCTTTTGTCTAAGACAAAGCAGTGGTCAAACGCCTTTTCCTGTTTGGTCTAGAATTTGAACGTGTAATCTTGCTCTTGAAAAACAAATCTTTTATTCTATTGTTAATAAGTTTGAGCATATTTAGTAGCAAGGCCTGAAAAAAAAAACATTTAACCAGTGGCAGGTTGTACAACTGGGAGATAAGCATGATTCAAGCCAGTACTAATAAGACCTTTAGGTCAGACCTATCCAACAAGTGGCCCTCAGATACAGCCCTTTATAAAGTCTCTTTGACCACAACAAAGCTGCCAGAAACTGATCTATCCATTAATGCAAAAAATGTGAAACGCACAGAGCTACGTCTATACCTTGACTAGCATATAAAGCAAGTAAAACTCTATCTGTCACACGGCATCTTCAGTAAACCATGACGACGCAAAGGACTGGGGTGAACAAGCATCTACCCATCCATCTGACCCATCCATCTGACCCATCCATCTGACCCGTGCAAAAGGTAGTAATAATACACTTCTAGCAAAACATAACAGCAGAAATGGTATTAGCCGAACTCACTAGAGATTTTTGTTTACTTTCCCAACAGCAATCAATGTTTATTGATGTTGAGAAGTAACAGACATGAAACCATTTAGGTCAAACCTTAAAAATATTGTTACAAGCAGTCTCAAGCAAAAAGATGTCTCACTTGGATTGTGTGTTGGGGGGGGGGGGGGTGACCCTCAGCTACCACCACATCAAAATTTACCTCTATTTCTATAAAACTGAATTAAAAGCAACTGTTTTTGTGTATTCAAAGGTCAGTTTGGTTGTGGTGGCCATCTTGAATTGAGCTGGCTCCAAAAATTAATGAATTGTAGATGTATATCTAATGAATATCTAGGGCAGTTATATCCACTCTGACAGCCTAAAAAGGCAGCAAAACTCCTTTTTCAACAGACTCACTACAGGAAATCATTCCTGTCCTTTTTAATTTTACTTTATAACTATTTCTGATTGAAATACTAACACCACAAAATCATATACCTGCACACACAACTACTGTAAAAGTGTTTTTATTTACAATGCTACTGTACATTTGTAAATTACGTGTAATTTACAATCAAGTTTTGTTTTCAATGCTCTTAATATTCAACTTGTCTGCTGTTGTGACAAACCAATGGGAATTAAGGAATTAATATCTATTCTATTCTATTCTATTCTAGACAGCAGACCTGTTTAACTTTACACAACTAACGGCAAAATGTAAAACAACTGGTTTGCACAAACAGAATACGATCTCAGCTATTACCACATCAAATTTTACACCTAACGTTAAATCAATATCTGTAAAATTAACTCAATTACAGACATTTTTGTATTTTTCAACTCAGCTGACCGGGTTTATGGAACACCGAAGTGTACTTAATGAAATAATAAATAAAATATTATGAAAAGAGTATTTATATGAATAAATAACAGATGAAAATAATGCGACAATTGTGAAATAACTGAATGCATATGCACATTTAAGCTCATGAAAATTTTTCACTGTCCTTTAAAATGTGCTTATTAATGTAAAACATCAATGTGATTTTTTTCCCCAAAAATAGAAGTTATTTTTTATATTATTCTAGCAGTTTTTATTCCAAATATATATTTTTCATAGTCATCTTTTGTTATTGTTACTTTGTTTTTGTCACTTTTACAGTGGATTGCATCGACTCTGTTACATTACAGAAGGGAAACTTCACCAAAGTGAAACATAAATCTGTGGATCTGTGTTTGATTACTCTGCCTGGCTTTCTCAAGGACCAGGATGTGACACAAAAATCTGAATTATGGAACTGAAAGTGAAAGTAGTCAAACTGATTTTTTAATAAACCAAAATACAGTTTCAAAGCAAATTAATTCAGATACAAAACTTTAAATTCAGTTTCAAACCAATGCATTCAATTTCAAATTCTGCGCATTCAGATTCAATCTGAGCAATTCAAATTCAATTCCTGGCTGCTTGTTATCATATGATGCTCTGTGTCAACAGCATAATCTAAAAACAAATCAAAAAACATATAAACTCATAATCAAAGCCATTCCAAAAGCTGTCTTATGTTTAATTGCAGGTCCATTGGCTTATTCACCTATTGTTCAATGTTTACCACAATTATTAATTGGAAATTACTCTTTCAAAGATTCCAAGTTTTCCAATAAAATTATTCGACACACTTTCGATCGTATTGTTTATCCCACCCTGCCATTTAAAAATTCCCTTCGTTAAAATTTTCCACCACAATCAATCCATAAATTACGCACTAAATACCTCAAATTTCCAATTTGCACCAAGAGCCAAAGAAATCCACTTTAAAACTTTAAATGGAATATATCCATCTAATTATTTTATTCATCACAGGTTTGGTATTGAAACAAATAATTGTGTTTTTTGTGATGATACGGAAACAACAGAACATTTATTCTTTCAATGCATGTATATGTTTGACTAGTTATTTCCCAAACTTCCCAGTCTCCAAATGTTCTCTGAAAACAATATAATTTATGGACTTATTATGGACAAAAACAGCAGCGACTTTCTCATCAACACTATTATCATTCTGGGGAAATTTTTCATCCATAAAGCTAAATATCTTAAGGTTAAACCWAATTTCTATCATTTTCACAATGACTTTTTATTTTGTACTGCAATTCTCTTAAAGTGATGCACACTAAACATGCCCACAATCTTGAAGAGTATGATTTAACATCTAAACCCTAGCCTTTTTTTGTTCCTTCTTATTTTTAAACTTCTTGTCTTTATTTGCACCCATCCTTTTCTCTTATATGCAAGTTTGTTTGTTTGAAACACGCCTTATTGTTTGTACATTATATTATTTTGTGTGTTCTTTGTTGTTTAATAAAAAAATGTCACTTCCTGCTGGCACAAGGTTTATCCCATACCTCCTGTACTTTTTCACATGGCGCACTTGTAAGTGAACAGCCCCAGGCCGTCCGCCACTCCTGCGTGAACAAACTGCGCACACAAGCCGACAATCATCAGGTGTTGTGCTGAAAAATGCACCCCTGTCGTGAAGCGGACCCTGTCACAGGAAGCTCGTTTGAGTAGGAACAGTAAAATGTGACACGCAGGCTTGTGTTTCGCAACAGCTTTAAAAAAAAGTACAACAGTCTAGTTATTTAATTAACTACGTGTAAACTGTATGAGACTTTCCGAGGAATAGGTGTGTGTCATAGCCCATAATCATTTATAGCCTGCTATAAACCAAACTGAAACGTATGTGAAACTTTCACTTCTTTCTAAATATTAGTTTATTAATAAACACTTCATTTTAATGCCCTTGCCTACGATGGGGACGTTTTTTTTGCGGGGGTACTTTTTGCAGCACAACACCGTCACGACGCACTCGACTCAGGAGTGACTTGACGAATTCAATGTCACGCCAAAAACTTTTTCCAAGTCTTAAAATACTATAAAAACACAGTAAATTTGTACGTGTCGTACCAAAACTCACGCACAGAATGCGTGGGCTCGTTAGGTGCGTGGACGCGTCGTGTTTATTATTGTTTGGACAGTTTTGTTTAAAGTGAGTTCACAGAATCTGTTCGTAGCCTTCCTGGCTAGTAGCGCAGCTGCCGCGAGTTGTGACGTCATAAACCAGCTAGCTTCATATGAGCTAGTTTATAAATCTATCACGCGCAACTCTAGCTTTAATCGAAACCAAACTGCTAAAACAACAAGAGGAACACTTCGACAGACACCGGAGCTACGGTTCGCACTAACAAGCCCTCCGCCATCTTGTGCTCTTATCACAGATCTGACATCGCCATAACAACGGTGCGCGTTTGTAGAGAAAGCTAGCAACCACGTCGTCACGCGCTGGGCTCCACTCCACCGTAGCGCCTGCCAAAACACGTTAATAACGAAACACAATTACACATTCTGACACAGCTGACTCTTCACCTTTGTGTCCCAGTTTGGTCCTTTAATGCCGTTAAAGTTTATTCCTTTAGGTCTCCTTGTTGTTGTTGACTCCGGTTGCTTGGCTCTTGTCGCCAGGACTACCGTGACTATGGCGCCTTGTCTTCACCGGGGCAACTGTTGCTACCCTCCGCTCACTGCGCCGCCCTTTACTGCAAGGTGATTGGTTTGAACGAGGGGGCGGTCGTGACGTCAGTGAAATGATAGACTGGTGATTGGTTGGTGGCTCCTGTCTGTCATTTTTACCAGATTAATTATTTTTTCTTTACTTGAACAGACCGGTTAAAGGGAAAATATCCAGAACCAGAGGTTCTTTAAAGAGATATGATTGTAATGTTCTCACATAAACATGATAAAATAGTCATTATGCTGCTTCAGGATGAATAGATGACTGGAGATTATTTGCAGTGTTGTATAAAGTACCACAAAGTGATACTTTAGTAAAAGTACAAGTATCTTACCAAAAAAATCACTTTGGTAAAAGTTAAAGTCTCCTTTAGGAATATTACTTGAGTAAAAGTTTTAAAGTATCTGATATTTTTTGTACTTAAGCATTAAAAGGAAAAAGTATTGATTTAAAATGAGCAGTTAGATTAAGAGTGGACCTCCACAAAAATACAGAAATGACTATTTTGTTTTAAAATAATTAATTGATGTTAAATTTAGGATGCACTAGTCCAGCTGTTTCAGTTTATATGCATATATCATGACTGCACAAACATTTTCCCCAAAATGAAAATCTATCTGAGGGCTGCAGCCAAATACAATAATATAATTTGTGAAATACAAATACTTTTTAAGTACTTTTCTTTTAATGATCATGTCCTGCTGCAGTGTGACATGATTTGTTTGTGTATAAATTAATACAGTATCAGAATTTTATATATTTATACTTCTCATTCAACCACAGTTAAACTCACTCTATCTAGGAGGAACAGTTTATATGGATAGTTTTTATTTTTATAATAACAAGCTGGAATAAAAACAAGCAAAAATGAAATAAAAGTAACAACTTTTTACTTCTTGCCTTTTTTAAATGTAAGGAGTAGAAAGTCCAGATAATTGTGTGAAAATGTCAGAAGCAGAAGTAAAAAGTAGGCTGAAAAATAATTGCTCAAGTAAAGTACAGATACCAAAAAATTCTACTTAGGTACAGAAATATTTGTACTTAGTTACTGCACAACTCTGGTTGTTTGTGTCCTCTCTTGTCATTTACTCTGCGCTGTTTATGCGCCTCACTTACCACTGATGCTCAGTGTGTTTTTAACCACTGCAGAGGTTTATTGTCTTGTGCGTGTGCCTCCCTCTACACTCAGCATGTTCTCTATTGCTCTTCAGTAAAGGATAACGGGAACTTGGCCTAAAAATGTGGTTGTTTTACACGGCCTTGAGAAATACCACTGCTGAGATTATGCAACCTTCAGAGCTTCCTGTCAGCTTGTTTGTAGTGTGCTCTGTCATATCTCTGTAATACTGAGTGATCTGTGAGTGCGTCTCCAGCTTTCATCCTAGTTTTCTTTTGTGTGCTTGGATAGTGATCTCCATCCAAATCAGCAGAGCGACACCCAAAGGACTGAAAGGCCGTTGAAGGTCACAGGTGATTAGATTGCCAAGAGTTGTGTTGACCTCACCTCCGGCATCATCCACTACTTGATCACAACCTTTTCTTGTCTTCGGTGCTTTGTTGCACGCAAAGGTCTCCAGTTTTATCTCTGGGTTTGACAACAAAACGGAGGTGACTTGAGGTCCATCTCTGACGCTCTGAAGCCTATAAAAGGTGAGCTGGACCGGCTGTAATAAGCACAGAGACAGCTGTTCTCTAACCATGTGGAAAGCAGCACTCTTGACCTTATTGTTGGTGGCTCTGGTACACAGGGTGGGCTGCAGTGAGGGGCATCCCTCTTTCTATGGGGTGAAACTGTGTGGAAGAGAGTTCATACGGGCTGTCATCTTCACATGCGGTGGTTCTCGCTGGAGGAGAGGTGGAGACTCAGGTAAGAATGTTTGTTTTTACGATACACCGCGTTTGAATGGAGTCGACTAAACTGTTTTTACTTTTTGTAATTAGCTCTTATTGGAGAGGAGCTCCTCGATCCGTGGAGCAAAAATTTCACCCCTCAGCTCTCTAGCGAACAGGATCCTGATGAGTCCCGAGCGTGGAAAGATCAAATGTTGGCATCCCTGGCTGCTGGGTTCAGCCGTCCAGTCTCAGAGGAGATGCTGGAGGCTGTGCGGAGCGCTGACAGGAAAGGACGGGACGTCGTGGTCGGGCTGTCCAACGCTTGCTGCAAGTGGGGCTGTAGCAAGAGTGAGATCAGCTCTCTGTGCTGAATCTGGTCCCATCTCGTGTCGTTTTTCTTTTTCTTTACATGCACCTATTTAAATATTGCATACTAACGTACAATAAATGACTTTACATCAAAATGTGTTGTGACTGTCAGAAACTGACACTTTTATTTATTAAAGTATGGAGTAATTGGTTTTCATAAACCGGTAATTGATCATAAAAAAAATACAAAAAATATATTTTTTATGCATTTAAAACTGTTCCCATGCTCACCGTGCTTCATAAACACAGATCTGTCAAGGATTTTCAAATAAAAGAAGCAGTGATGTTATACAAAGTTGCCTGAGTTTGAGTGTAAGAGTGCACATTTTATAGGCACACAGTATCACTCTTTCATCTATGGTGCAATGCCTCTCAGTGCAACCATCCTTTAACTTGAAACGCAAAGCTTGTGATAATGAATATTTGGTGTTTGATGCAAGGTGTTCACTGAATTTTACTAATTATATATTTTTTAATATGTATTTATTGATTTTTGCAATGATTATGAACAACACAAACAAAATAGAATAAAAAAAGCAGACAAAACWAAACAAAAACAAGCAAAAGTTAAACATTTGGCCCATTAACATATACATATTCATCTTCCTGCTCAGGAGTCACAATCCAATCATGGTTACTAAATATGAATCAGGTAGAGTGATACTTAGTGTCAGTACTAACTAGTACAAAGCTCTCTTTTCTATATATGAATGGCAGCTGGACAGTCATCCCCAGTAGAAAGGGATGATATCATAGCGCAAAAGCTCTTATAAGGGTTGTAGAGATATTAATTCCGATGTAAGTCAAGAAGGGTTCCCATGTTTTCACAAAAACATCATCCTTATCATGTAATCGGCATGTTAGATAATCAAGAGACAGTTAAAGATGACCTTTTGCCATTGTACTTTAGATGGGATTTTTTCCTTTATCCAGTTGAGGAGGAGACTTTTTTTTGCACAGAAAGTTAGCATTCTATAAAGCTTTCTTTTATGTTTATCAGCGATTGTCGGATCAGTTATTCCAAGTAGTAAAAATAAAGGATTGTTGTTTAATTTGACAGACAGAATTTTGTTCATTTCCTCCCCRATGGTCAGCCAGAACTGTTTAACTTTAGTACAGGACCAAAAGCAATGAGTAAGGGTGCCTATTTCAATTTTGCATTTTAAACACTGTGAGGACACGTTAGGTTTGAATTTTTGCCTTTGRTGAGGTGAGATGTGAGCTCTGTGAAGCACCATGAGCTGAGTAGCCCTAACTCTGTTGCAAACACTTAAAGTTTTTACATTTCTCCAGGCATCAGTCCAGTCATCATCTGTTATKTCACAGTCAAGTTCTCTTGCCCATAAATCCTTCAAACTGGATGTTTTATCTGTGTTGTCGTATTGAAGAGCTTTGTAAAATATGCTAATAGAGGTCGCTGATTTGGTCAGAAAAATCAGTCTTTCGGTTTCTGATATATCCTGACGGACCAGCAGTGTAGTTTTTCTCCTTATAAAATCTCTAACCTGTAAATATCGAAATAAGTCTTTATTTGGAAAATTATACTTTTTAATTAGCTGCTTGAATGACATTAGAGCAGAACCTTCCATTAAATCTTGTAATTTAARTATTCCTTTGTCAGCCCAATTTTTATAACTGTTATCCATTATTCCAGGTAAGAAATCTGAGTTATTGCAAATTGGGGTAAAAACTGAGGTTGTTCGTGATCTACCTTCTAATTTCCWRAKT